GTCCACCAAACACATAAGAATGAGATTAAAAGCTGTCAGAAAATTAAGAAACTCCGGAGTGATAGCGTTGGACTATGTCCATACGGCTAAGAATCTGGCAGATCCCTTTACGAAAGGGCTATCACATGTAGTGATAGATAGTGCATCGAGGGAGATGGGTATGAGACCCACATGAGTTACCATGGTGGTAACCCAACCTATGTGATCGGAGATCCCGTGAAGTAGGACCTGGGGAAACAAGCCAGTGGTGAACTGAGGAGAGTAACTTTACTAACCCACTCCGTTGGAGATGCAATACTCTCGGAAACTGTACGGAAGGATGACTATTGTCTTAATGTGTTCCAAGGCTTATATGTATAAGCAAGATGCTATCCTACAGAGCGATCTTTGGAGGAACACACCTATGTGAGCCCGACTGCTAGTCACAGTCTATGAGATTGGGGTGATCTCTAGTAAACTCATGAATAGGCCAGGAGTGTGACTTATATGCTCCACCCGAGGGGTCAGCCTTCGGCAGCCCAGTACTAGTAAGACATGTGGTGAAACTTCTTTACGCCAAACTGACAATTCAAGGCATAGTCCATTGTTCAGTTGTGAAGGAATGTAGCTACTTGCTCTAGGTGAAGCTCAACCTTAACAGGTCTTCACTGAAACACTAGTATATCAAAACAGTATTTGGAACAGAGGACACTATGGGACCTCGAGATCTGGTGGGGGATTGCTGAAATCTGAGATGGGCTCTAGGCCCATATTGCAATTTCTGAAAAATCTCTAAGGGCCCATGTGGGTTATATGGCACTAGGTGTGTGGGAAGTTTAGTCCCACCTTGGAAGTGGAAGGAGAGTTGGAGTGGTTTATAAGGGACTCTCTCCCTCATGCTATTGGAGCTTGAGAAGAGATGAGGCCCTCGCGCACTCCTCCTCCTCCGCTCGCCTCGCCACGCCACGCCTCGTCACGACGCGCCGCGGGTTGCGGGATTGAGCCGAGCCGAGCTCACTCCCATGCGCTTCTTTTTGCCGGTCAGGAACGGAGAGTCTTTGACAGGTGGGGCCACGATCTGAGACGTCGGATCGTGGGCTACCGACTTGGACGTGGGTTCAGCCCACGTCTCTCCACGCGCGGCCGCACATATATATGTGGGGCGCTGCCAACCCTAGCCGTCACGAAACAGAACGCATCTCCGCCTCCACGCCCACGTCGTTCCGCTGCTGCTGCTGCCGCCGGCGACTCCGTCCCGTTCACCGCGTACACGGTTGACGGGAGAGCAGGCCTCCGAAACCACGCCTCTCCGGATCCTGTACGGGGAGAGGGGCGATTAGGTTTTTGGGTAGCGACTACGCGACTGCTCGCTTCTGTTCATCTACGTCCGCATCACCTTCATCATCACCATGTCGACCGACACCGACCGTGCCGCCGCTGAGAAAGCCGAGGCCGACAAGAAGGCCGCCGAGGATGCCGCGGCTGCTGTCACCGCCACCGCCACCGCGTGGCCGATTGGAGGGTATACATCGCTTATCCCTCTCGTGTTTCTTTCTGTTGTAGCAGTACTAGCGGTATGCGTAGATGTCTCTACTATATGCGTAGTACATGCTCTGTTAGATCATAATCAGTATGTTATCAATGCTGTCCATGTCATGCTCATGATTTATTCATGGATTAATTTAATCGAAAAACTGCCTATTTTCTCATCACTTAGTGGAAGACTCGGTTATAATTGCTTCGGAATTTCCCATATCATCATTTATATGGGTCAATGCCCATTGAAATGTATCGTGTGGTTCACCTTCATTAGGTAAATAACTGCCGTCAACAAACTGATTTGTGGGCAAGTGATCTTATACGTTTCATGAAAACAAAGTCCTGTCAACTCAAGAAATTATCAGTACAGCTGCGCTTTGTTAATTGGGATGTATGTAGAAGTTTTCAAGTGATTAAGTTTTCGACTCTTTGATATCCGAAGTAATTGGGACACCGCTAAAATTATGCAATGCATATTGTGAGTGTGGCTTAGTTTTTGTCTGTATTAGTATTGGATACTAGGGCCTTATAGCTCATTTGGGGTTGATGGGTCAAACTCTCGGTTCCCAACTGTTAACCATCTGTCCCTGATCTAGACAGAATGGACTTATTGAGGGTGATATTGACATATGCCCAAATGTTAGGGTTTGACCATCCTCTTTGAGAACTGGACCCTCAGGCCTGTTGAACCTTCTGGGTCATTCCTTTGATGGAGATTGAAGACACAATTCAGGTCATGGGTCCACCTTCTAGTGATCTTTGTCACCTGCCATTTCGTGCCAGAATAGTAGATTGGGATTGGCAAGGTTTATCATCACCATGTTGTCTAACTTGACTGTGCAAATGGACATAGTAGTGTGCAGTGAAAGTGATAGTAGCAACCATTGACTTTCACATCCTATGGAACAACGGGGAGCCAACTTGAGAGTTATGAGCCACTAACCCTTTATCTTTAGAATTAAATATCCTAATGATTGTTGAACAGGCTAGCGACATTCTTTGTAACTGAACTGTTCACATGCTACAGTACAGAACACAAAGCTGAACCACAACTGGCCATGTTACTGGATCCTAGTTTGTGCTGAGCTTGCAATTTCTTTATTCACTTGCTTGTTGGCAACATACAGAATATTATTGCTTTGGGTGCACACAACTTGTCGGTACATGAGTGCCTAACTGGAGCATGGTCCATGTGGTAAATCTTATTTATAATAACCTACCACTGTTTGCACATCCAGTTTCTTCCAAAATTTTGAAATTATATATGCATAAATAATTAGGTGTCAGGTTGACTTTTAGCATTTCTGCATATATGCCAACTAGATGTTTATCATGTTGTTTATGCAAAGGCAAGGCTTATACAACAAAATTCTAATAAACTGAGATAATCTAACTGTAAATCTTTTTAAAAGCAGGCTTTTAAAGAATTGGGAAATTAAGAACAAATGAACCATAGGATTATCCATCTCAAAAGAAAGAGTAATGAATGTATGTAACTAAACAATAAATATACTACAACAACAAACAACAACAACAACAAAGCCTTTAGTCCCAAACAAGTTGGGGTAGGCTAGAGGTGAAACCCATAAGATCTCGCGACCAACTCATGGCTCTGGCACATGGATAGCAAGCTTCCACGCACCCCTGTCCATAGCTAGTTCTCTGGTGATACTCCAGTCCTTCAGGTCTCTCTTAACGGACTCCTCCCATGTCAAATTCGGCCTACCCCGACCTCTCTTGACATTCTCCGCACGCTTTAGCCGTCTGCTATGCACTGGAGCTTCTGGAGGCCTGCGCTGAATATGCCCAAATCATCTCAGACGATGTTGGACAAGCTTCTCTTCAATTGGTGCTACCCCAACTCTATCTCGTATATCATCATTCCGGACTCTATCCTTCCTCGTGTGGCCACACATCCATCTCAACATACGCATCTCCGCCACACCTAACTGTTGAACATGTCGCCTTTTAGTAGGCCAACACTCAGCGCCATACAACATTGCAGGTCGAACAGCCGTCCTGTAGAACTTGCCTTTTAGCTTTTGTGGCACTCTCTTGTCACAGAGAATGCCAGAAGTTTGGCGCCACTTCATCCATCCGGTGACAATAAGTATACTACAGAGGATAAATATCATCTTGGGTAAACTAAACTGCAACAATTCTCTTCAATCGAAGCTGAACCATTTCCGAGTTTTAGACTGGTATGCGAAAGAATAATTAATTACAGGTCTATGGTTTTAATATTCGCTAAATTTATGGGGAAAGCTACCCCGCATACTAGCCTCAGTTTTGTTGTTGAGCTAATAACAAAGCTTGCACCGACACCAAGTACTTACAGTTGGTGTTATTAGCCCACTTCTAACTAAATATGAAAAGAGCCTGTTGGTTCTGACTTGATTGCATTTGTGTGACATCCTATCGTAAAAGGGTTGATAGTACTACACATACCAAGAAGGTGCATCTGTGAGCGGTGAGCCTAGAGAGTAGCCAGGAGTAACTACTGCCAGCCCAGGAGTGGCGGGTGTTACAATTTGTCCCACTGAAGCTACAATCTTGTATTGTTCTTTAGTAACACGTTTGGAGCTTGAAAAATAGTTTTGTGATCATATGCATCTTCTCATGGGTACGATGCACATGCTATGGATAGAAGTAAGTTATTCACAAGTTTTGTACTACTATGTTGATGAGATGGACGCAGAATATACTGCTGAAACTTGAAACTGTAATATAGCGATCCCTGCACTTATGCACAAGGAAGCAAACTGTAGAGCGATTTATATCAATTGTCAGATTTGGGTTACACAACGGGTGCCTAGTTGGAACTTTGCAATTACTATCTGAAGTTTGGCATGAGCCTATTGTTTCTCAAGTTTTTATGACCTCTCTTCACACCCACTATACCATGTTCTTATACCTGATATTGCATAGTTTACTTTAGACGTTAGGAGTTGCATTGGTTGTCAGATGCAATTGTTTCTTTTCTTTTTTGCGGGGAAGATGCAATGCAATTGTTTTCATGTTGATAACCTCATTGGGTAGCTGATCATATAGTGGGCAAACTCACGTTATCCTGTATGCAGTGATTCACTATTTATCCATTGATATGTAATGTTAGATTTTCAGTCTCACCTAAACTAACTGAGACAGTACAGTGGGTCAAATTTTAACTTTTCGAAGTCAAAGTGCTAGTTCAGATAAACAACTATATCCTACTGGATGTTAAAAGCTAAATTATTTCATGTACTAGTTCATTTCAAATATCCAGGTTAATCCTGCCCATGGGCTATAGTTGAAGCAGCTTTCTGATTCATTTGTATCCTGTTTCATATATTTGTCTTAGCTTCTTGCCTCAGCCATCTATTGATTGATAGGATAGCTGCAGCTGGAATATGCATTCTGCTCACCAACTTATAGTAAAGAAAGTTATTGAACGTATAAGAGGCTAACTCCCCTTGTCCCCTTGATTTTTAATTTTACTCCAGGTGACCTACTTCAAGTGTGGTGGCATCTCCCTTGGTGTCGGAATGCAACACCATGTTGCTGATGGCATGTCTGGCTTGCATTTCATCAACTCGTGGTCTGACCTCTGCCGTGGAGCTAAAATTGCTGTCACGCCCTTCATCGACCGCACTCTCGTCCGTGCTCGTGATCCACCGACTCCATCTTACCCACATATTGAGTATCAGCCTGCCCCAGCCATGCTGTCGTCCGTGCCTCAGGCTCTAGGTGGCAAGCCAACGCCGCCTCCCACTGCTGTGGACATCTTCAAGCTCACCCGCTCAGAGCTTGGCCGCCTACGTTCTCAGCTGCCCACAAGTGAAGGCGCTCCACGGTTCAGCACGTATGCTGTTCTAGCTGCACACGTCTGGCGCTGCGTCTCCCTTGCGCGCAACCTGTCTCCTGAACAACCCACCAAGCTGTATTGTGCCACCGATGGGCGACAACGGCTGCAGCCCCCGCTGCCAGAGGGTTACTTTGGGAATGTCATCTTCACCGCCACCCCGCTCGCTGAGGCAGGCAAGGTTACGAGCGGGCTGGCAGAAGGAGCAGCGGTCATCCAGGGAGCGCTAGACAGGATGACCAGCGACTACTGCCAATCAGCCCTGGACTACCTGGAGATGCAGCCGGACCTGTCAGCATTGGTCCGTGGAGCGCACACTTTCCGGTGCCCCAACCTCGGCCTCACCAGCTGGGTGCGCCTGCCGATCCATGATGCCGATTTCGGCTGGGGTCGGCCGGTGTTCATGGGTCCTGGCGGCATCGCGTACGAGGGGCTGGCGTTCGTCCTCCCGAGCGCGGCCAAGGACGGCAGCCTGTCCATCGCCATCTCATTGCAGGCGGAGCACATGGAGAAGTTCAGGAAGCTGATCCTTGATGTGTAGATAGACCGCATTTTAGAGAGAAGTTTTACAGGGCAACAAGCTTCAGGTTGTGCCGAACGTTTTTCTGGGGTATATATGCCTGAAGTTTCAAATGAACATACACCGGAGTTTATATGGTGGACAGAACATAATCTTATTCTTATGTGGTATCAATAATGAATTCTGTTTTTTGTGTATGGAGAAATTAAAACTGAATTGTGGAGGGATTGTTGTCGCGGCAACCGAAACCCCCAAACCTGAGGCAGCATCATGTGTCTGTTCATTCTGCCATTGACCGGACTGGTTTTCCTTTTGAGACATCATACTGTTATTCTTTTTAACTCTCCATTGCTCCACTGCAAATTATGAGTAATTTTTCCTACACGCACGGGTTGTTACAGATGCTACATACACGCTGAACTCAGGAGGGAAGGTTTAGTACTCCCTCAGTTATACTAAACTTGAGACACTTAAAGTTATACTAAGCTTGAGGAGATGCTCTGAGGGCGCACGGGTTTCCTCGAGCTGATTTTTTAGGCTAAACACACTTTATTTTATTAATCAATAATAATGTCCATTGGGATACAATTAAGGTCCGGAAGCTGAATCAGCTACACATGACAGCCTCTCGGAAAGACCAGAGCATGTTTGATTTTCTCCCTTGGAAGATGAAGGTGCATGCCTCGATATTTGATTTTCTCCCTTTGAAGATGAAGGTGCATGTCTGGAATCTCTCTTTGAAGATGAAGGTGCATGTCTGGAATCACAATCCAATAAGCTAATTTCGTGAATGATATTTTCATGTCTTCCTTCTGTTAGAATTAATGGGCATGGCCCATTATAAAAATTTGAAATCTCAACTGAGCCCATGTGTAAAATGGTAAGTGGTGGTGCTAAAGTTTAGTCCCACTCCGAAAGTTGAAAGAAGAGTTGGACTTCTTTATATAGTGGGTTCTCTCCACCACTTTAAGTGGTGTGTTGAGAAGAGAAAGAGAAGACGACACGCGCCTGCACTCGCTCGCCTCGCCTGGTCGAGGCGAGGCGTACGTGCAACATGTCGTCTTCCGTCCAAGTCGGGCGGTGCTACTCATCGGCGTCTTCATCGTCCTCGACAACAAAGCATCGCCAACATCATCATCAACACCGCCGCTCCTGCTGCAACTACCGAACAGTACATAAATCGTGATTTGTTCATGTCTTGCCGCTCTTCTAGTTTGCTAGATTGTTGCATGCTAGTTTCTGTCCTAGTCATGAATTATTTACTGGAATTAATCATGAACTTGCCTAATATTCCAACAATTCAAAAACCTAATTGTAGGCAATTTCTTGAGTTAACTATGGCTGGATTCGCTGATGCACTGAGGCCGGATAAGTTTACCGGTGTGCACTTTAAGAGGTGGTAGGTGAAGAGTGATGAGAATACAGACCTAGGGTAGGGTCGTAGGCCTGACCTACACGTCCTACCCAAGGTCATTACCCCAGAAGATAAAAAGACCAAGGATCCACTCGACAACCTAATCACTCGACCGTCATCCCCCACCGTCACTCGACCATATGGGGGGTCACTCGACTATATCGAAGACCAGGAGTCGAAAGAACACACAACGGCTGGGCATTCATTCCTTAGTCTTCATGAGCATTAAGAGTATTTAAGACTGCCGTTACCAGTAACGCCCTTACTTTATGTACATTAAGCCCCTTGTAATGGAGGTCGGCTGGGGTCCTGGCGCACTCTATATAAGCCAACCCCCTCCTCTGGGACAAGGGTCCGCACCCCCTGTAATACAACACACATAATCCAATCGACCGCCTCCGGGCACCGAGACGTAGGGCTATTACTTCCTCCGAGAAGGGCCTGAACTCGTAAACCTCGTGTGTACATCTTCGCCATAGCTAAGATCTTGCCTCTCCATACCTACCCCCCTTTCTACTGTCAGACTTAGAACCACGACAGTTGGCGCCCACCGTGGGGCAGGTGTCTTAGCGACTTATTGGTGAAGTTGCAAGTTTTTCCGATCATCATCATGGTTTCCGGCGGCGAGATGGTTGAGGGCCGCGAGATCCGTCTCGGCGCGCTCGTTTTCGTCACCGATGACTCGGCGTGGCTCCAGGAAGCTCCGCTCGATGTCGAGGCGCTCCCCATCCGAGGGGCGACGCACTTTCACGCGTGCGTTTGTGGCGTCCTTCTTCGGTAGCCGTCGACCCAGTATCAGTCGGCTCCGGTGACATCTTCCCTCCCTGTTGTTCGCCGCCGCAAGCGATCCGGTCGGCCGCGGCTTTAGTGGTGGGTGAAGCATGCGGTGGCTCGGCGTTCGGCCACTCATCAAGTCGCGGCAATCGAGCCCGATGAAACTCTCCACGGCCTGTTCGATCTGTCGACCGGCTCCACGGAGACGGTGTCCGAGTGCGATAGTAGCGATCCTGCGGCTGAAGTCCTGATGGTCGATGGTCCGCGTGGCCCGCCTGGCTTTCGCCGCGAGGACGGCGAAGAGGCTGGCGGCGATCCATCAGGGGTCCACGAGGAGTACCGTCCCGAACCTCTCTCTTCGCAGCAGAGAGAGGATCTTCATCGTCGCAACATGGACGCACTTCACACGCAGAAACTCCCGAGGCTCGGGCCTTGGAGGAGGCGCGCTTGGCTAATTTGTCTGAGCGCACTCGACTGGAGAACTTGCAGAGCGCTCTCGACGAGCGAGCCCGGGAACGAGTTCCTGAGTCCAGTCGACGGCAGCTTTTCCCGCCTCCACCTAAGGTATACCATACTCCGATTCAGAACCTCACTGCTGTTGTCCGAATTGCAGAGTCGATTCAACCTTCCCAGTCAGAGGCTGGCCGAGGGTTGGAGCAGATCCGGGCCCTGCTCCGAGCAGTAGGAGAGCAGAATTCTGCGGTGTCTCAGTTGCGGAATAGGATACACAGCAGATCCGTGACAGCGGATACAGTTCAGTCGGCCCATAGCCCAAGATCGCCCCCGCGGCGTGAAGGCCGTGGGTAGTACGATCGTCAGTTCGACAGCGACAATCGTCGTCGAGTGCCAACGCCTCCTCCGAGGAGTGCGTCGTACGTGCCTCGGCAGAACGATGATAGACGCCGTCACAGGGACGAGCGCAGAGCTCTAGTTGACCCAAGGGAGTCGGGCTTCGATGCGAGATCCATTCTCGTCCAAGGACTGGTCGATCGGAATAGAGCACATAGAGAAGACCTGGGCAGAGATCATCCGAGTGGCAGCAGATCACATGTTTCAGGCCCAGAGTGTTTCAGCAGAGCCATCAGGGCCGCAGTGATTCCTCCCAACTTCAGATTGGCAACAGGAGTCAGTAAGTTCACTGGAGAATCCAAGCCTGAAACTTGGCTTGAAGATTACCGAGTGGCTGTGCAAATTGGAGGCGGAAACGATGAGATAGCAATGAAGCATCTCCCTCTTATGTTGGAAGGGTCGGCCCGAGCGTGGTTGACTCAGTTGTCCCCAGACAGTATACACAGTTGGGAAGAGCTATCTCGAGTGTTCGTAAGAACCTTTGAGGGCACGTGCAAGCGGCCAGCAGGGCTTCCCGAGTTGCATCATTGTGTGCAGAAGCCAAATGAGACTTTGAGGGAATTCATTCAGAGGTGGACCACTTTGCATCACACCGTGGAGAATGTATCAGAGCATCAGTCAGTGTGCGCTTTCAAGGAAGGCGTCAAGTATCGAGAGTTGGTTCTGAAGTTCGGTCAGACTGGGGATATGACTCTTACCCGGATGATGGAGATAGCCACCCGGTATGCTAACAGAGAAGAAGAGGATCGACTCTATAGCGGGAAGAGTAAACCAGTCGGCCAAGAGGCCGGTGGAGGTGGTTCCAGTCGGAAACAAAAGCGTAAAGCCGAGCCAGCGGCACCTGGTGAGATTGCAGCAGTGGCTCAAGGAAAGTTTAAGGGAAAGCCTAAGGGGCCCTGGCCTCCTAAGAAGGTAAAGGATCAAGCAGGAAATAATGTGCTGGATTTGCCGTGTCACATCCACACGAAGAAAGATGAGGAAGGTAATCTGATTTACCCAAAGCATACCACTCGACAATGTCAACTCCTGATCCAACAGTTCCGGGAGAAACAACCCAATGAGAAGGACAAGGAGTCGGACAGAGGTGAGGAGGAAGAGGAAGATGAGGTTACCCCAAGGTCAATTCCACTCTCATGATTTTTGCTGATGTTGAGAGCAAGAGTCGGTTGAAGGTCATCAACAGAGAGGTGAATATGGTTGCTCCGGCAACGACGACCACGTACCTGAAATGGTCCCAGACATCCATCACATTCGACCAGTCAGACCATGCTGCTCGCGTAGTCACCCCCGGGAGGCAAGCGTTGGTGGTTGACCCAGTGGTCGGTGGCACTCGATTGACTAAAGTGCTGATGGATGGTGGTAGCGGCCTGAATATCCTGTATGCTGAAACCTTGAAGGGGATGGGCATCCCAATGTCCAAGCTTAGCGAAAGCAATATGATTTCACGGTGTTATCCCCGGAAAGAAAGCCGAGTCACTTGGCCAGATCACTCTCGACGTGGTTTTCCGTGACTCCAAGCATTACTGTAAAGAAAAGTTGACATTTGAAGTCATGGATTTCCAGAGTGCTTATCACGCCATCTTGGGGAGGCCGGCATACACACGTTTCATGGCTTGACCGTGTTATGTGTACCTCAAGCTGAAGATGCCTGGCCCCAAAGGTGTGATCACAGTCAGTGGCAATCGGGAGAAAGCAGAAGAATGTTTCCAGAAAGGTTCCAAAATCACCGATGCACAGATGGCGGCGGTTGAATTCCAAGAGTATCAGAAGAGCGCAGATCCGAGTGACTTGCTCCGAGCCAAGAAGCCTGCTATAGACTCTGCATTTCAGTCGACTGGTGAAACGAAGCCGATTCATATTCACCCGACTGATCCCAATGCTACTCCGACTCATATATCAACAACGCTCGACAGCAAATAGGAAGAAGCGTTCATCCAATTCCTCCGTGAGAACTGAGACATCTTCGCATGGAAACCCTCTGACA